AGCACATGCCTTTGATACGAATTCTAAAAGTGACGCATGTTTAACTGTCAACTTGAGCTTTGAATCTGTGGCGGAAGCAAGTAGTTCCGCACAAAAGAGGGTTTTATTAGGCACTCTGTTGTTTCTTGTTTAATTACACACGTTCCGTCGAACTGTTGTATAAACGCAATATCACTCTCGTACTCGAGCGATACCGGCTCTATATCAGCGGCTGTGATTGCCTCCGGCACTCGGCCTGCGGCCTTGTGCCTCTGGCCTAATCACAGCCATGCTGATATAGAGCCGTTATTGCTCTCGTACTCGAGTGATATTGCTCATTCATACCAATACTTCAAACTATTTCAGTATTTCAAAATGTTTATAGTCAAAGTTATAAGTAAATTCATAAGTGCCTTATTGCACTAGGTAGGGTAGCATGCTTTGAACACTATAGCGGAGTTTAACAGAAGCTTGCATTACATTAAAAGCACTTCTACAAATCAAGTAATGTTCTATCAAACCATGTTCTACGAATCAAAAATATGTCTTCTAAGTGGGAATTTTTTTTTTAATTCAGTTAAGAAAGCAGATTTTACTCGACAATAACAGGTAAATTGTACAGAGCGGTAGCAGTAAAAGATTGTTGACTAAATGTGTTTAATTTTATCAAGTAAATCCTACAAGTTTTTTTTTTTTCAGTGCAAAGAGCATTTTCAGTCTGTATATTTCCAGTTCAGCCAGTCTGTACAAAGAGTCACATGAATGTCACATTTGATTAGTCACAAATTTCAAGTACATTACCATTAAAACGTTTATACCAGTACATTTTGTGTTTTTAAAATAATGTCTTATGCTCACTAAGCCTTCATTTTTTTAATCAAAATGCAGTAACATTGTAATATTGTTACATGTTAGTACAATTTAAAAATAACTTTGATCAATGTGGTTAATATAATTTAAAAGATAATTTATTCCTGTGGTGGCAAAGCTGAATTTTCAGAAAGTACAGTTTTCAGTCAAAAGTACAGCATTTATTTAAAATATATATCTTTTGTAATATTTTAAATGTCTTCACTGCAACCTTTAATGAATCATTACTGAATGCAAGTTTTTTTTTTTCAAACAAACATCTATTTATTGTTATTATAATAGTGTACATGTAACGTGAAACAAGGACACCTTAAAATAAAGTGTTACCCAAAAATCTTACTAACCCTAAACTTTTGAATGGTAGTGTACAATATACCGAATAGTGCCTTTAAAGCTCAGCATAATTAAGACTTACATTTTATCCAAATCTCAGTTATTTTCATCATTACATTTGATGTTTCACCACTCAACCAATTGGTTTCATTAGCTAGACTAATGTCAAGACTGAAAGTCTAATTTCTTCGGACTAAAATTCTACATCCTGTAATGTTTTAATCATGATGCTTCTCCGAGGTGAGTCAACACTCAGTAGACGACAATGCCTGAAATTGTGGACATCTGTGAAATTAAGGAACACACTCGGATTACAAAATTGGTCTGTCTCCAAGCCATTATACTCCTAATGGTTTGAAGCTTTTAATGAGCTTAGTGTTGAAACTTTCTCAGCATTTGTACTGCACGGGCAAGTGAGTGATTGTTTACATATGCCGCTCAGCCAAACAGCTGTTATTAGGTGGATGTTGATAGCAGCTTTTATTTGATTTTCATTTACTGGCTTGGTAGGGAGGAACACCATTAAAATTACAGATTTTTTGATGAACTGCTGCTTTTCTAATGCATTATTCAAACAGCACCATGGCAAAAGATGACCGTTTTCTAAAGCCGGCTACTGAAGTGCTAAATTATTAACTTGTGGTTTTTTATGTGTTTAAGGAAGGACGGCATTCTTTTTACAGTTGTTTTGGAAAGCACTAATGACAGATGGTGTAACGGTTATGAACAATTGTGTTTACATTAACTGTACATACTGTAGGCTAAAGCAAACCTGCTTTCCTTTGGCTACAGGATACACAAGCACACACACACACCAGCTGCTTTAAACCGCAGTCATGTCTCACCTGTCGCTCACCCCAGCTTTGACAAAAACACATTGTGATGGGAAATCATTACCATCAGACTGAGAGGGCTTACTCGCCCCACTGGCTTCTCAAAAGTGAGCCTTATACAAGAACGTACACATTCCCTTTCCCAAACCAGACCAGTTTAGATAAGCAAACCCTAAAAAGTTGGTCCAGGCTGCTCTGTGTTTATCAGTGTGTCTTGTGCAAGTTAAGAAACCTGGTGAACACCAGCATCCAGAACTCAAAATGTGTGACCTGTTCAAACCAAGGAAAGTAGCTATAACTATGAAGTTTTAATAACCTTTCATTAAATTGTATGAGAATAGAGAAGTCCATAACTATAACGAAAACGACACTGTGGAATGACTTGGTGCGAATGGGCCTGTTTAACAATTAAAGCCTAAATCATCTCACGTTCCTGCCATCCTTCCCAGCTCTTCTTCACCTAAGCCCCACTGTCATCTTTGCATTTTTTCTAGTTCCTAAGCCATGACATTTCGTAGCTATTCTTGGGTTTCCCGCGACAGAGAGTGACAACAAACCATGGCAGCTTGGCTTAATAATCATAAAATCTCCTGTTCAAACATTTGCCCTTGTCTCATCATCAGTTTGGCCTTTATCTCATCTAGCCGTGGTTTGAGCTGCTCCTGTGACCGCTGCCCTGGGGTGCAGGGACTGACAGGAGGGTCAGGAAGAAAAGGGAGTGAGGAGAGTATTTGGAGACTTACCCAGCCAGCTCCTGTTCAGATACACTGACACAAACACGGGCGGTACTGTAAAGAAGTCCACCACTGAGTTCACCTCCAACCAGAACCACAGCTTATCATTGGCTGCTATGAACTGGAAGAAGATGAAAAGAAAAAGAAACATATATATTACAGCATTTTAAGGAGGATCACATTTTAGTAAGTAGAACAAACAATTAAGATGAATGAACATTAGAATGAACAATTTCTAGTCAAGCATTAAAAGTTTTCGGGCCAAAACATAATATTGAGTGTATAGAATGTGGTAAAAAGATGTTGAATATGAAAGTTAAAATATGTACTTACACGCAGGCCAAAGTAGAGTAAGAAGAACACGTTGAATGCCATGTCAATTTGTAACGTGAAGTCTTTGTAGAAATTCTGACAGGATTCTATAGGACTACGGAGAAAGAAAAATAAATAAATGCTAATTTAATTGAAAACAAATTCATTTGTTTGGCCTGGAAACATTTTCCTGAAAATATTGTCACAATGCAATCTTAATCTTAATGGTCCTAAAACACGATTAATTTTCCTCATACAAAATATTTGTTTTCTTTTCTTCTGATTTTGAAGTGACATTTAACCTAGGCACATTTTTTGTGAGATACACCCTATAACACATCATATAAATATGCATATATAAAATATAAAACCCATCCTAATAAAACTGCACTATTTTCCAGGTTATATATTTAAATATATATTTGTCTTAAATAGCCTACATAAAAGTTCACATGTAGAATACAATATTCGTTTGCATTATAATTATATTCAAACCTCACATACAATAATTTATTTACATAGTCTGCTATTTGTACTTTTTGTTATGTCTAAACACATTGGTTCTGTACTCTACTATGGAAAAAAAGACAATCTAATATAATAACACTTTTGATGTTCATAGTGTTTTGAATCTGTACATACTGAAAACACAAAATTGTTTATAACTGTTAGAATTATTCACAAGAAAACACAAATGAATGTAATGTGTATTATAACTATATCTTCAATGAATTACAATGCATTAAAATACCTTTTTAAATATATATCTCAATGAATCATAGCAAGTGTTTTAAACAGCTCTAATATTTCTCCCTCTGGTATAAGACGACAGTCACGACATCAGGAAAAGTCGACTGCATGATTCAGGACAGTCTTAAAGCACCAGGTGCCTTTATCCATTAGTAAAAATCTTAAAATACATAAAAGCATTGCTGAATTATTCAATACATCTGGGATGGTTAACTCAACTGTTGAATGATTCAATTCAGGGCTCACAAAATCGCTATTCCCGGGGCTATTGTGTTTTCCAGTCGGGCAACCAAAATGTATCACCACTCTGCCCGACGGGCTATCTTAAATGCAGATCTCCTGCGGGTCCTTAAAAACTCCTAAAGTGAGTTGCATCAAACTTAAGGCCATAAAAAGTTTTAAATACGTTAAATGGTATAAGAAATGTCTTAATTATAACTTACAGTTGGAGATGGAAAGACAAGAGTCGCGATACGGCTGGATTAAACTTCAAAATGCAATGTCACTGAATAAGTATGAGCGCTGCACGTGTCAAGTCAAAACGCGGCGAGGATGTCTTTATTTGAATGTATCTGAAGGCAACGGACTGTCCTCAGAAACGTGTCATTGGCATTTTAATTTCATTTGACCTATAATTCCTGATAAAGCAGCGTTTATGAGCGCGGAGCTGCTTTGTGTACAGCCGTTACCGGGGAAACCGCAATATTTCAGTGCTCCTAAAGCGCCACCTCGTGGCAGAGAATGAATTTGTATTTCCAATAAGCCTTTCTGGCTGTTTATGGTCAGATCAATGCAAATATCAACTCATGTTTTTAAGCAACAAACACATTGAGTTGTAAATGAGAAAGAAGTTAATGTGCCTTCTAAAAATCTAAACAATTAAGACAATAATATTTATACGTTTTAAATTGACAATTTATATGCTTGAATTATCTCTTTTCATAAAAATGGTCTAAAGGCTGAAATGCTGTTGTATAAGATTTTTGTTTTTGTGAAAACCTGTATCTGAACTGTAAATCATGTAATTTTATGGCTCAATACTGTATGTTACCATAGACATGGTATACATTTTGATTGACATTTAAACTCTTATCTGATTTTCTATATTTAAAAATAAAAAAAGGGTCTTTTTTTATTTGGGCTAGTTAAATTAATTTTCGGGCTACCAAAATCTGAAGAGTACCTGCCCGAAGGGCTACCAGGGACTCTGAAATTTTGCGAGCCCTGCAATTAATTAAAAGGCTTAATTTCATAAGTCAGAAGCCTTTGAGCTGAGGTTAATGTGGTGCTGCCCTTTCACTGACATTATCATTGATCTCATGTAGGAAGTTATTTAGAGACCAGCCATTGAATTCACCAGGCATAAATAATACGAAAACTAAAGACAAAACTGCTGAAATAAGGCAAAAGAAGCCCATAATGTAAGCTTAACTAGGCCTTCATGGCCAGGAATAGCTTTCTATCAAGTTACAATTAGCCGTGTCTCAAAATGCACGACCGTCAACATGTGTACACTGTGAAACACAAAGCGTCTGATCCTTGAGCTCAATGTCTCTTCACACTCCACAATTACAAGAGATCTCCTGACATGTGGCATCCATGCAGAAAGTATCCCTGCTCAGAAATCTTTAACAGCTTCCTCCTTAAGCCACATTAAGGCCTCAATGTCCTTTTCCAGCAAGATCCTTGACAGCCTAGGCCTTAAGACGACACTTTCCCAGGCCCTTATAAAGTTGTGAGCTGCTCTGAGGTCAGCTGAGAGCATGCTATGCCAACTAATAATGGTGTAAACAGCGCCCAGGTGCCACTGAGCTTTTAACTTACATTAGGTGGCCTCAGCTCCTAATCGAGCGCCTGTGGAGGACGTACAGCAATGTCAGTGCGCACAGATCTATGCCACCCTGAGGGACACACGCACTGGGCTATTTCAGGCCCGCTATGTTTCTTCTTCATCATCTTTTACAAAGAAGTGCCACTGTGGCACTCACTCATACAGGGCACAGAAATTAATGCATATCCTGAAAACTGCCCTGGGATGGTTATCCCATGTGCTTTTGGGCCCAAACATCCCATTATGTAATAAACAATCAACATTATTAATCACTATCAGTGCACTAAACCTCTGTGTAAGGCATTACAAAAAATATAGAAAAATATATATAAATTTTTTTTCATGCACTTGTCAATTGAAATGTTGCAGGCTTTTCATAACAGTTTTCTTTTTTTCAAAATATTGGAATATTTTTTGAGTTGAGTATTTTCTCATGCACTGAGCCAGAAATATGCAATTACCCCCAAATTAAAATTAGTTTTATTTCTATATTCTGAAGGTTTTTACAGAGTTTTTTTTTTCATAAATCAATTGTCTAATTTTATAAATTTTACTCCTAAAAAATATTTGTATTTTTACTTTATTTTATTTATTTTTTCTGGCTGTTTATGGTATTTTCTGATTTATGAAGTGATAATGATTTTTGATAATCAAAAATCCCTTCTGTAAAACCCTTTGGAAAGGACAACAAAATGAAACAAGAACCTGGCTTTATCCAATATTCAGATTTCTGTTCTGGAAATGTATGCAAATGTGTGCATATTTAATTAGCTAATGCCTCATTTGCATATTCAAACATAACATTTCAGAAGACTTAATACAAAGATGTTTGCAATTCTTAAACTGAGGAAGCATTGTGATTTCAATATATATATATATATTATTTTTTTTTCCCCGAGTCTGAGTCGGGAACCGCTACTGGAGCCTGGAGGGCGATGGGGCGGCACACAGCAGGTCTAGGTTAATACAACAATGACTGATTTAGGCCAAGGCACCATTTCTAAAATAAGAGTGATTTAGCACCTACAAGGGCACCGGACAGCTAAAACCTCTGTCGGAGGTCTAAAAATATCCTTTCTGTTTTAATTCTTCCCTGAGGTGCTCTCTGCATGTGCTTCTAAAAGAAGAAAATACACAAAGCAATGCCCCGGTGTTTTCTTCCTCTTAATGAAAACAGGAGGAAGTGAAAGCTCTAAGCAGGGAAGACGAGAGACTAAAATTTGTTTAGGAGCTAAGGTTGATATTTGCAGCGATAGTCATGGCAGAGTGTTCAAACAATCCTCTGTTCAAGCTTGAGAAATGCACAGAGGACTAGCTAATCTTCAAAGAAGCAAGCTGAATATTTTTGAGAATTTCCATCCGGTTCTATCAAATACAAATGTACACATGAAGCAAACAGCACTGCAAAGCCAGCTTCCCACATACAGAACTCAATTCATACAAAAACGAATGGCAAAATAAAGAGAGGAATGTGAATTGAAACGGCATCTCTTATCTGTTTATTGATTAAGCCCCCTCAAAAAGAGGTCATGCTGGACTGAGCTTTTTAAACTGCTTTCCTGCCCTCTGCAAGAACTCAGTGTGATTACCTCTGGAAAACACAGACCCCATCAAAGCTTTTCTCTCAGTGATAAGACCCTATTACTGCAAAAAGCTGCTGAATCAGAGCTGGGCAAACCTCCATCCTTATGTAAATATATGACACTGACAATGTGGCCTCCTCAGCAGAGACAGAGAGCTTGACGAATCTTTTAGTAATTTTCTACTTAATGGCAGGACAGAGAAATATAGCTCAAACAATTATTCAAAAAAATAAAGAATTGTATTATAATAATAAATTATTTTATTTATCTTACATTTCAAATGGTTTTTTTTTTAAATAGAAACAACAATTATACATATAAGTAAATGTTAAATAGCTAAATTTATTATAGAAAATATAAATGTAGAATTAAAAAAAAAAAAACTTTTTTTAACAATGAAACAAATCATTGAGTCAGAGATATGAAATGATTCCAGAACTGATTCAAATCTTCAGGTTTTGCTACTGATCAATAATAAAACATCTGTCTAAATGTTCTCATAAGTCATAAGACAAGGAAAGATAAGTAGACTAATGACACATTCTGTAGCATCCAAACATTTTGTCATAAGCACAATTTTGCTTAATATTATAGTGCCACAGAATCACTAAGAATAGAGCGTGAATATTTAACATGTAACCCACATCTGAGAGATCTTAAGGTGAGAAATCTTAAAAGATATCAAACTAAGCCATTACAGGTGAAGCTTGATATTAAAACGAGTTAATATTTCATCAGCTGCTGCAATGCATTATTAGAGGAGTATATGACATTGAATCCTGACACTGAATATCAGACACAGGCATGCATCACAGTCTTGGAGAACATGACCTGCCAAGGTCTCGCTTTCTCCTCCTCCTCACTCTCTAAAGAACAGGCTGCTGGTGTGTGGGGGATTTTCAAAGCGTAGGGACGCTGCATAGAATTAAACGGGGTGGATTATTCATCTCT